CGCCTCCCCGGACCCGGAAGCCTCGAAGGGCGTCCCGCCCCTCGTTGGTGGGGTCTGTGCGCCGCCCAGCCCTCCGCCGTGCCCGCCGCCGACGATTCCCATGCCCATCCTTGTTGGCGTCGGAGGGGGAGCCATTGTGTCCCCAAGAGCGCACCCCAGCCCGCCGACATGCCAGCTGCCGCCCTGCCCCCCGCTCCCCAATCCGCCGCCCACTCCGCCGCCGCCCAGCCTGCCGCTGACATTTCCGCTGCCCAACAACGCTCCGCCCAGCCCGCCGCCCGTCTCGGCGCCGACCAGCCCGCCGCACATCCTGCCGCCCAGCCCGCCGCCGCCCAGCTCGCCGCCAAGCAAGCTGCCGCCCTGCCCGCCGCCGCCCAGCCCGCCGCTCAGCCCGCCGCCGCTCAGCCCGCCCAGCCCGCCGCCGCCCAGCCCGCCCAGCCCGCCGCCGCCCAGCCCGCCGTCCAGCCCGCCGCCAAGCCCACCGCCCATCCCGCCGCCGCCCATCCCGCCGCCCAGCCCACCGCTGGCAAAACCGCCGCACAGCTCGCCAACGGCGAGCCCGTTGAACTCGCCGTCGCTTTCCGAGTCGTCGCTGTCTGCATCCACGGCCCGCCCTCCGCTGCATGACCCACGCACCGCCCATGGGGAAGCGACGTCAGCGGTGTGTTGACGCTGCGGCGGCCCACCCGAAGGAACAGGCCCCGCCCGCGCCTGGGGCGTGAGGTCTCTCGACAGCATGCGAAGGAGTTCGTGTCGTTCGGTCCCGCCCTGGCCGAACCTTGCCTCGGCGGCCGCCCGACCGGGCACGCACTTCCCTCCGCTGTAGAGAGCCGCCCCGTCAAGCGGTTCTCTGGAAGGAAGTTTGTACGCCAGTCGGCGCGCGCCGTTGTCGGCCGTGCCCTCGCTGGCGTGCGCCATGTCTGTGTATGCTGCTCAATCACGCCTCGGCTGGCGCGAATTGGGGTTGCGGGGAATTCTTTTTTGAGAGCGTCACCGCCAGTCTGTGTGTTGCTCGTGCGTGTCGTCATCATCTGTCTCGCGTCCATACACACGTCCACCCATACCGCGTTGCTGTCCCATCTCCTCATCTCTTTCCCGCCTGGGCGGGGCGGTGGGCGGGCGCGCGGTGGGCATGGCGTGTGCGTGTGTGCGACCGCAACGAAGGACCGCTCGCAAGAGATCATTGGGTTTGTACTATTAACAGGTAGGTAGGTAGGTAGAAAGGTGAAGAACAGCCAGGCTCGGACTGGACACCAACGCGGTATGGGTGGACGCTAGACAGAGAGAGATTTGTCTAGACAGATGATGACGACACGCACGAGCGACACACAGACACAAACAAGCTCACAAGACACACAGCCAGCTGGCTGCCACACACCCTGAGTTGGCGTACACATAACTCAAGGCCACATCCTCCCTGTCGCCCCCCCCAGCACTCCAAGGTGCCAAGAGAAACAAACAAGGGCACAACAAACAACAGACAACAGGAAGTGACATGTGAGGCTAGAGCAGCATGCTCCACCTCTAGCAATCTCTCCGGCCGGCCTATTAACAACGAAGGCAAGTCTCAAAAAAAGAAACACGGTTGGCGATCTCTCATATCTCTCATCAAGCCTTCGTCTCGACTCGACTTCATCCTGGCCGGCGCGAGAGTCTTCTCGTGTGTTGGCGCGCGCCAGACTCCCGACGACCCTCATCCCTCGGCCACACACCACGCGCGGCCTCCGCTGCAGCCGCCTGCGCGTCGCCCGGACCGCGCCTCGCCTCCTCGCCCGCACTCCGCGCTGCTCACGGCCGCAACGCGCCGACGGGGCCCCTCTGCCAGAGCAGTCCGCCTGCGGAGCGGCGGCCGCCGCGGGGCGTGCGCGGCGACGCGCGAGCCGCGGCCCCGCCACCCCCACGCTGTTTTTCCACCTCCTCGCTCTCCCATCTCTTCACGCGCGGCCGCCGCGCCCGATCGCGCACCCCCCCGCACCGCCTTCCCTCCCCCCCTCCTCGGCGCGTCGCGTCACCTGCGGGTCGGTCGTCGGTAGGCCGCGCCCCTCGACCGCGGGCGGCCCGGCGTGGCGCAATGGAGCCCACCGCAGTCCCGCAGCTTCCGCCGCTCAACTCTCTGCCGGCGACGCTCGAGCAGGCGCTGCAGCCGAGTTCCGAGAGCCGTATCATCACGGAGCCGCACGAGCCGTTCCGGATCGTGCACGTGAACGACGTGTGGTGCCGCGTGTGCGGCTTCGACGCCGAGGAGGCCCTCGGCAAGACGTGCCGCATACTGCAGGGCCTCGGAACGTGCAAGGCGACGCTCGGCATGCTGCGGCAGGCGCGCGGCGCAAGAGAGGGGGGAGAGGAGAGGCTTCCTTT